TGGCAGAAGCCGATAACGAGACCATTAATCACCAAGAAATCGAGATGCAAATACAGCACAATGCGAAAACCGTTCATTCGGGTGAAGCTAGGAAAGCAAGTATCGGAGACAGGAGTTCTGCAACGCAGGAACCGAAATATGGTGAAGCAATACAAGGGAGGAAGTGCTACCATTGCTCAAAATATGGACACATAGCACGTGAATGCCCATCCCGAATGGGAAATGTTAACCATAGGGATCGAAAGAAATTCCCTTCGGAGAATGGAGAAACAAAGGTGTCATCTATCATTAAGCAAAACCATAGCATGGGAGTCAAAATACAAAAGAGGAGATCGGAAAAGAGCGATCTCATTGGCAAACGGATAATGGTTCCAGTGAGACTTCTAGAAGAACGTCACATGGCTTTGGTGGACACAGGTTCCATGATCAGCGTTATTCCGCTAAAAGCCCTAGAAAGAGCACAAAATCGAGGGTTCGATGTAGACTTACTACAGGTTGTGCCAAAGTCAAAACTGAAACCCGTATTTGATGCATCGAACAACAGAATGAACTTAGTGGCTGCAGTGTACATTCAGGTCGAAACAGAGAATGGACAACGTGAAACAATAGCATTTCATATCAGTCCAGATAAAGAAGCGGAAACAATTATTGGAACGAATGCACTAAACAAATTAGGGATAGATGTGAGAATGAACAGCGCTAAACTCAAAGATGACACAAGTCTGATAAAAGAAGAGAACAAAAATAAGGTAGTGGTGGCAAAGAGAGTATATATTCCACCGCATGACGCAGCCTTGGTGTCAGTCATATGCGAAGAAGATACGAAAGACCATATAGAAAGAGTGATATGGCCCAGTGAAGATGGGGTAGAACTTGGGGTGTACACTATTAAAAACCAAAGAACGGCTGTACCCATATTCAATAACAGCCCAGAGCCTAGACTTTTCAAAGAAGGAGAAAAAGTCGGACACTGGGGTACGGACAAGTGGCATGAACGCTGGGAGGAATGGAATCCTCTCATGGCTGACGAAACCGATAACAAGCTGTCAGAATCGGAACGACTACAGAAACTGGAAAGCTTACTGACGGCGAACACAGAGTCGCAAGTACTAGATGAAGAAATAAAAGACCTAGTGAAGGAATATACGGAAGTCTTCTCGATATCAGATCAAGAACTGACACAGACCGATTGTGTCAAAATGACTATAGACACAGGAGACTGCAAACCAATCAAGATGAAAGCGAGGCCGGTACCCTTGGGCTTGAGAACAAAACTCAAAGAGCTGCTTACGGACCTCGTAAGAAGAAACGTAATAGAGCACAGCAAGTCGGAATGGGCTTTCCCTATTGTTCTCGTGGAAAAGAAAGACGGTTCAATCCGATTATGTGTGGATTACAGAGAGCTCAATAAAAGAATAAAATTAGATGCATATCCACTTCCCAGCATAGAATCCATCTTACAGAGTCTCTCCGGAAAAAATTTCTTTTCAACGCTAGACATGTGTAGCGGATACTGGCAAATCCCATTGGCTGATGAAGCTAAAGAAAAATCAGCGTTTGCAACACCGGAAGGGTTATTTCAATTCAGAGTCACACCCTTCGGGCTTAGCACAAGTCCACCAGTATTTCAGAGACTAATGAATACTGTACTAGGAGACCTTCTCGGCGAAGGAAGTCTTCTGCTACATCGATGATATTATGGTCTGCACTGATTCAAAACAACGACATCTTCAACTATTAGGGGAGGTGTTTTCTCGGCTAAAGAAAGCAGGACTACGACTCAAAGCGCAGAAATGCCACTTATTAAGAAGAAAAGTTGCGTTCCTAGGGCATGTCGTGGACAGCGAGGGAATTCATATGGACCCAGAAAAAATTTCCTCAATCAAGAATTATCCGAAGCCCAAAACAGTGAAAGAGCTTCGAACCTTCCTGGGCATGGCATCATTTTACAGGAAATTTTGCCTAGGTTTTTCTAAACAAGCAGCATGCCTCTTTGATTTAACCTCTTCAAAGGCGAAGTGGACATGGGAGAAAGATCATGAAGAGGCTTTCGAGAAAATGAAAACGATGATCTGTTCCGCGCCAGTACTTAAACAGCCAGACATAGAAGCGGCTAGAAGTGGTCACAGACCCTTTATCATATGCACTGATGCATCGACATCAGGGTTAGGAGCGGTCCTGTCGCAAGAAAGTGAAGACAAACAACTACACCCTATATTCTTCGCATCCAAAAGCTTGAGTAAAGCAGAGCGAAGATATCATGTAACAGATCTAGAGGCCCTCGCCGTAGTATTCGCAGTCCGACGTTTCCATATGTTCATATATGGCATCCCAACAATCATCATGACAGACCATCAGCCGCTAACCGCTCTTTTCAAGCGTACTAATGTGTCCACGCGAGTGCTCAGGTGGTCACTCGAATTGCAAAGATATAACCTGGAAATTCGTTTCGTGAAAGGCAAGGCAAATGCGGTAGCAGATGCCTTGAGTAGAAGCGTTCTTACATCAGCAGAATCGAAATCACTTGATGGAGTTAATGAAGCCGTGGTGAACATAATCACTGCAAAGGAAGAAACGCAGTGGCTCAAGGAACTGAGGCAAGATACTCAATTGAACGAAGTAATTCAACTAATAGAAAAAGGAGATTGGAATCAGGAAATAAGACTAACAGGCGAAAGGCGCCCCATAAGAGTAGCAGACTTTGCTCTCGAAGATGGAGAACTGAAAAGATTTCTGGAGAATGGCAAATCAGTGCACGTGGTCCCAAAACAATATCGATACGAGATCTTTCAAGAGGCGCATAGCGGTGTCTTCGCAGGCCATTTTAGCGCAAGAAAGGTCATAAAAATAATATCTAAGCAAGTGTACTGGCCTGGAATGATACAGGACATCCACAGATGGACGAAAGAATGTCAGACATGTTTCGTACATAACCCAAGAGAAAAGATGGTACCACCGCTAAAACCAATTATTACCACAAAACCATACGAAGTAATAGGCGTAGATGTCCTGGAACTAGGCCTTACGTCGAGTGGGAATAAGTATGCAGTCACGGTGGTTGATCACTTTACAAAATATGCAGCTGCATACCCCGTACCAGATAAATCGGCAGCGACAATTGCGCAAGCAGTCTTTGTCAGGTGGATTGCAGAGGGTTGCAGGTGGCCGAGAACAATTTTATCGGATAAAGGAGGAGAATTCGTAAATAAAGTGATGGAGGAGATAATGAAAATTACGAAAATTACGCACACAACTACAAAAGGGTACAACCCGAGAGAAAACGGGCTAACGGAAAGACTCAATGGAACGATTGTCGCTATGTTACGAAAAAGCACGGTTGTTCCAACGGAGTGGGACACAAGATTGCCATTCTGTATGATGGCATACAACATGATCCCTCACAGTGCTACCGGGGAAAGCCCTTACTTCCTCCTCCATGGGATAGATCCAATTTTTCCCTCGAACATCATTCCAAACGCAGGAATAACCAAATATATGGTGGATGGACAATTGAGAGACTATAAAACTGAAATTCTCCAAGCTATTGCAGAATCACATGAAAGAGTCAAAGAGTACAATAGCCGAATAAGAGAACAGATGAAAAACATATATGACAAAAAAAACGAAGTCACAGGAAGAAAATACCCAAAATGAGGCGATCGTGTATATGCATGGTCCACCTAACGCAGCGCAATATGAAATCACATCCAAAGCTGACCGTAGAATGGGCAGGACCATTTAGAGTTATTGAAGTAAGCAACAACTCTGCTTTAGTGACGAAAATTGGAGAAAATACAGACCCTATTCGCATACAGTTCGATATGCTAAGAATTGTACCAAAAGAAATCTCTAATCAACCAGTCGATACAGCACATGTCAGGGGTCGCAAAGGAAGGAAACCAAGAGTTAGAGTATGCCAGACTTATTGTGAAGCTTCCAGAGGAGCAGTCCTGCTGAGCCCAGCCGATAAAGGTCATCTTCAATTCCAGTGTGTGGATGATTGTTTCGCGAAGACCACACTGAATGACATACAAGGCATCCAGTTTCCGGGTGCCTACAGCAGACAACCATTTGGAGATCCATGGACAGCATGGAAGACGGCTTCAATTTTTATCAGAGACGAACTTAGCATTGCGCAGAAAGTTGAGCTCTTCAGAAACAGGGCAGTATCACTAGACACAGAGGCTTTGCGAAGAGTCCTCAAGGTCGCTTTTTCGGTGTGCACCGACTGGACGGAATTCATATGCACAACGAAAGATATAACCAAGCATGAACCTATCGATAACAATTGCATCATCGACTTTTACAAACCTGCTTTCTCGCAACTAAAGAAGGACTTACAAAAAGACGTTCAAGGTTGCAGAAATCCCAAACAGGGTCCTACTGGGTTCGCAGCACCCGAGACGGCATCTCTGATGGAACGCGATGGTCCAAGAAATGGTCTGGTGACAAGAGTCGTTACCACATATGATAAACTCAGAGACATACTCAACGACTGGACAACGTTTGCAACGTGGGTTATCGTGTTCCCGGTAGAAAGCAAAGGGAATAAAAAAGTGATCCAAGAGATAATGAAGTCGGCGAAGAACCATTTGGAAAATGGGGGAAAAATCGTAACAGCATGGACCCCAATAACGGCTCGATAGAACAAGAATGGAAAGCAATGACAAGTTTGTGGCAAATGTTAGACGAGTCACTCTTGAAAATTGGCAGCACCCAGCAAGTTTGCACAACGGCTGATACACGAATCATAGATGGAAAGGTGTACACACATGCAGGTAGCCCCGAGTCCGCGAGCCAGTTCTATAATGCTTACCCCGGTGTGGCAGCAGCCAAACTGTTGTATTTGGTAATTCGTAAGAAGGCAATCGATTTTGGGCTACCTGAGCTCGAACAGTCGCCGAGGTCGACGACTCCGCGACGGGGAGGCATGTTAAAGAGGAGATTGCCAGCGGGCATACAGCCCACCAGCCACTCCAAGAGGGCATGCTAGAATGAACGGGTAGAAGAGATAAGCTATCGTATCGTCTCGTATCGTATGAATGATATAGGAGAGACTAGCCGTGGGGAGTGAGTTCACTTCTTCGTGTGTGTCCGCTCTCCGCTGGTGGCCTACCCGCCTCGCCGTTCCCAGTCACCGTCGACCCCGGTAAGTACCCTATCCTCTTTCCATTTCAGGTCGAGGCCAAGACGAATCTTGGCGAATCAAGCGCTAGTGATTTGTTTTTCCTTTGTAGTATAAGTGTTCGTTGTTTCCCAATAAACTGTTGTGTTACGAATCCTTTCGATCACAGAAGTAACCGTTCGTAGGAGTCACACTACC